CTTCGACATCTGCGACCTGCGACGTAGCTTTGCGTTTGCTTTTTGAGTCCGTCGGGGATTTGTCAACAATCAACCCAGGTGCTATTCACCAAGTAGCAGGCAGAGGTGCCTTTCACCTTGGTGTTTTCTGACTTGCAAAAGCAGCTGCCAGAATACATACAGTCTACGTGGTGCACCTTGCCAGGTCGTTTCACTTCATCCCTGCTACTCCTCTGCCGAAGGTGGGCACTGGCACGTGTGACATTGCAAGCCCCGTCAATCAAGCTGTGCCAGGTACAGCTTTGTGGAATGCCTGAAAAGCCGCACACTCAACTCAGCCAAGTGACTTTCTTCAGGCGGTTGGCAGCGGTTGGTTTTGGGGTGGTTTTTGTTGGCATTCAACTCTTAACGTAGTGCCAACCAAATGCCTATGGACCTACGGGCTTGTCTTCCTATGGAACTTTCGCAAAAGGGTAGCTGCCAAACTTATAGTACTAACGTTGCATGCTGCGATGGTTTAAATGACTTGGAGACATTGGGAGACGGTGCAAAATAGTGGGAAAGCCATCACGTGCACTCTTGTGCTGGCAGCGGCCCTCTCAGGTTTGTTCTTCCTGGCGCTCTTCAGCGGATCCTTCAGATGTTAAGTCGTGATTGAACATTTTCTGAGGAAAAGATATAGCTATTGGATGCTATTAGGTTGGATCGCTCTTAGCTTGGGGGCCATCGCTCTTAGGTTGGAGGCCATTGCTCTTAGGTTGGAGGCCATCGAGGCCATCGCTAGTAGGTTGGAGACAATCGCTACTACGGTGGAGGACATCGGTAGTAGATGCTAGTAGGTTGGAGGCCATCCCTAGTAGGTTGGAGGCTATCCCTAGTAGGTTGGAGGCCATCTCTAGCAGGTTGGAGGCCATTGCTAGTAGGTTGGAGGCCATCGCTAGTAGGTTGGAGGCAATCGCTAGTAGGTTGGAGGCGGCCATCGCTCTCAGGTTGGAGGCCATCGCTAGTAGGTTGGAGGACATCGGTAGTAGATGCTAGTAGGTTGGAGGCTATCCCTAGTAGGTTGGAGGCCATCTCTAGCAGGTTGGAGGCCATTGCTAGTAGGTTGGAGGCCATCGCTCTTAGGTTGGAGGCAATCGCTAGTAGGTGGGAAGCCATCGCTATTAGGAAATGATGGCTTTGTGTTGCTGTTTGAGGTGGTCAGCTCCCTCTCTTGACGCAAAAGACGTTAACGGAGTTGAAGGTGCTGAGATGTATGAGTGAAACGGTTCACTCCTCTGCCGTAATTGCAAAACTTCTGGACAAACATGCTAGACATACTGGTATGAATGTCCTGAGTTGAAAGACCAGAGCGACACCAGTTCCGGAGGCCTTGATGCGTCAACACCTGGACACGCGCAGGCGTTCCACACCTGAAAAATGTGTGCATGTGTGTTTTTGAAGGGGGTAGGCCGCTAGTAGGCTTAAGTAGCTATAGTACTATAGTCAGTAGTATATAAGGGAATGTAAGAGATAAGTAGTAGCTTAAGAAGCTTCTTAGGCTTGGACACACGAAAGCCCTCGCATATTCACTGGGTTTGAGCTAAGCACCTAACTAGCTGTGCCTGTGACTGCCTGTGCCCAGAAGCCACGCCTCCTTGGAAGGCGCAACCACGCCAGAAGCTTAGAGCTTAGACATATTGATGTTGAGCGTTTTGCTTAAGAAGAGGCTTTCGTCGCCAGGCCACATATTTCCAACATAGCCGTAGCCAGAAAGCTCATTGATTGCCAAATTCGAGTCAAAAAGTGCTGCGCGTGAATGTGGTTTCATGGAAATGCATTGCATTAGCCGCGCTGGTAGCACACATCGACTTGTTAGACGAGAAGAGCTTCCAAATACGGAAAGAAACAGTGGCAGTTATGTTGGACGGCTAAAGGGCAACCCACTGAGGTTGTTGTCAGGTCTTTTCTGGGGTTGCAAAAGCCTTGGGTGTCGTAGCAGGGCTTCAGAAAGCAATGGCAGAGTTGTGTGACACTGCGAGGTCCAGAATACCCAAGCCCTAGATAGAAGCCAGGCCAAGTCATAGAACAGTTTGAGTCTTCTAGATTAATTGGAGCATCCCAACGCTTTTGCAAAGCAAATCCAGCAATTGAGGCTTTGGCAAAGGAGGGTGCGCTATGGTGCACTAGAGATAAGTATGGAAACACCGATGCTTAGTAGGGAAAAGCAACCAGGGTTTTCTATCTGGGATGTCAATTTACAGCCACATGAAACTCACATTACAAAGAGGGAGCTTGAAAGAAAGCTAGCAAGCTGCCCGCAAGAGAAAGTGACAACTAATTGTTTGAGTGCGAGGTTAAGGTTTGTATGAGTCCCAAGGTTTCGGGTCTAGGGTCTAAGTTTTCCTAAAAATCTAGGAACCAAACGAATAGTGCGAGCGCTTCTTCAAGGAAGCTTCCCCCGCCGCCCTGGGGGTAGCTTCCTTGAAGAAGCGTGAGCTATCCTGCATCCAGTTACTGGTAGCGTCCACTTGTAGGTACTAGCTACCTCTATAGCTTATCACTGACGGCTTTGCGGATGCCCGCACGCGCCCAGGTCCAGGTCCAACAAACTACTTTGTACACATCTCAAAGGGGTGTGTGAATTCGCACCCACCCGCCATCCATTGTATTCCGCAGGCTGAGAACCAACGGTCAGGCCACAGGTCTAACCTCGCTTTGAACTTTTCCGCCAGACAGGTGCTGATAGGGACTACTGGATTCAGTGGGCTGACATGCATACATATGTATACATATATAATATATATAGTTCACACGTCAGGCAACGAACCTTTCGAATTAGCAGGCGAGGGTGAAAAACACAAAGGATGCGCGACCCAAGCCTGAGGCTCCAGTCGTGGTGTTCGGGTCTAGAACAAGGAGGCTTCAGTGAAAGAACCGCTCACCGCAACTGATTGACTTCCAGTTCCAGATGAAAATCTCAGGAGTCCCAGTGGGCTGATCACAGCTGTAGGCACCCTCACTGATCTTGCTCACAATCTGGTGACCATCCTGAAGACGCACTATTATTACTATCACTGAAGTCCAAAGCGGCCTTTTTCTACTTCCATCTGGTTCGTGGTGGACTTGCAGCCAACTCCCGCACAATCTGTTCTTCAATTGCAATGACTGAGCCCGAGCAGTAAGGCAATCGGGTACGCATTCACAATGCCAAGGATGAACAAGCGTAAGAGGGAAAACAAAGCATGATATCACGTTACAGGTTTCTCGTCACAGCTTGTCACTGGAGCCGCTGGAAACGACGAGGCTTGCAAGGCACCAGTGTGAAGCAGGAACCAGAATGCCCAGCCGCCACCGAATCCAGCGTACCGCCCAACCGAACTTGAAACAGTCTAAGGTCAGGTCATTGACTGCCCTCGTAAACAAAGCAGTGCCCGTCGAAGGGGGAAATGATACATGGCTCTGGTCAAGGCTCTGCCGTCTCAGCTGCACCACTGGAAGGACTTGCTTGACCCATCACCGCTTGCTATTTCTAGCTTAAACTACTAGCTACCTCTAGCTACTACCTCCTAGTGGCCTACCCCGTAGTTTTAAGAAAATATATATATATATGTAGTGTTAATATTCATTTCTGAATTTTGTCGTTGCGAAGGGTTCTCGCTGTTTGCAAGACGCTGCTTTGTCGTTCGCCACTGTTTGCGGATGGTCCCCGTTGTCGTTGAGATGGGTGGATGCTGCGTGTGTGTGCATGTGTGAAAACTGTAGACTCAAAGGGAGCGTGTTTGTCGTGACACTTCAAGTTTGCCACGACATGTAAACGTGTGGACTGGGGCGACGTCCGTTCCAGGGACTTCTATAGTCAATTGTGTTTATGTTCGTCGAAGTGTTTGCTCCCGGCTTTTTTGTTCAAACCTGTATGTAAATGAGCACGCCTATCCAACCTTCTCGGTGGCGGACTGCGGGTGACATGCAATTGACTCCCGCAGAGCCGGTTTCAATCAACTCATGCCGTTGCGGCTCCATGAGCCAGGCCTTTTTGTTGGTGAGGGCGATTGTTGTAGCGTTGCTTGAGCGTGCGCTGTGTTTAACCGCGGCTGGTCAGATTGGCCTTTTGTGTGTGGTGGGAAGGCTGCGGCTGGGCACGCAGACCGAAGGTGTCTCATTACATATGTTATGGCCAGGAGGGATTGAAATGAAGATCGTGTTTCCAATGTGAAATGATGTGAAATGTGTGAATATGTGGAGTCCAACTGCTCCATTGCTGGTTGGCGATGGATTGAATCTCGCCCTGCGAGATTATTGCGTGGTGGCGTTCGAGTTCGATTCTAAGACGCGCAAATTCTGATTGCCCCAAGTTCTGGCGAATGCCTGATTTTCTCGTGAGGTCACTCGGGAGAACGTTGCAGCTTTAAGCATTATGTTTCTGCATGTGTCAGTCGATACAAGTCATAGTGTTCTGGTAGCTTCAGAGTCAATGCTCGCAGCTACCCGGATGTGACGTTTGTGTTTTTGGTCACAAAATGTCACAAATTTTGGTCGTTGTGCAGTTTTGGTCTCACAGGGAATGTCCAACCGTGAGGTTTGGACGTCCGTTGCCCTTTCTTCAAAGCTTTGTGGCGCTAGTTTACTGCGAGTGGTGATTTGCCTTTTTCAGCCAAATTTGCCCAATAAGTTGAAAAGTTGTGTTTGAGTCTTGTGCATGTCAAATTAATAACTACTGTAGGTGCTGCGGCCACTAGGGTTCTCGGCAAGCGCAAGGGAAAGGTTGAAATTTAAATGACATGGGTTCGAGCGATAACTGCTTTTGTGTTTTATACCATTAGGCCTCGCAAATTCTTGCAAGATCATTTCTATATTATGATGATATATGACCACCATGCCCCCAAAATTACGACCAACATACTCAGTGGATTGACAAGGGCGTTGCCCCGATTGCATTTCTACTTCTGGACAACCTTCACCGACTTTCACACAACGGCACTGAGTAATCCATGACAAACATCCTATCATTTGGATTCTTCCTCGCCATTTTGGGTTCAATCAGGCTCTTTTAACTTTTATGGCCTGCATAGTCCAATACCTCCTGTCGTCAAAAAGGCGGGGAGTCCTGATGAGGACAAAAGGGGCGTTGGGTGGAAATTTGCCGCTGAACGAAGTTGGTTGTTTCACAAAGTTCAAGTGGTGCAAACGGTTGGGAGTTGTCGCAATTGGAAGAACTAGGGATTCAACCAGGGCCATCCGATGGATATATGTTGTTCTGTCCAAACATAGTGGTGATGATTGATAGGCCAGCAATGAGCATGAACAAGACCCCAGACCCACATGTAATTTTCTGAAGAAAATTTGTTTGGTTCAGTTCTTCAAACTACGTAGCCCGTTCACCCGCGAATTTGGGGAAGTAAAATGAAGTAAACCACAAGCAACTGACATTCTGTTGGTATTGCCGGTTCACACTGGGGCTCAAACCATTGTTGGGACTATGACTATGGAAAGAAAATGCAAAAGGACACATGGAAGCGAAAGAGTCCGACGGCAGCCCCTGCCCCCATCAAACAAGATGCTGTTGGGACAGAGTCTGAACACGTGGTCACTTGGGATTATTTCAACGTTCATCCCTGACATCTCCAACTCCAGGCGTACGGAGGGAAAGAGGAAAAGCTTTGGTACTGCGATTTCCGCGATTTGGAGCATTCCTCGATCAAGCGGAATCTTGACTGGTGAAGGAATCTCTCAAGTTTCGGAACACTTCAAGCTCAGAGGGAAAGTGCGGAGGTGAGGACGTTTTCTTGACTATTTGGTGAAGCAGAAAGTTTGGGCTAAAATGCATAACTGTGTAATTACACAATGTCTATATATACTGTAGAATCTGTTGATCGTACGTGGACTGAGTTCAATAACAAATAACTACGGGGCAAAGAGAAAACTGTGACTTGTGGGAAGTGCATTCTTCCACCCCCTTCAGGGCTCACAAAGTTGCATTGTTACGCACTTGCTGACACCCAGTCTCTTGGATACCGTAAGTTGGTCAGAGTCAAGCGTTCCAATCTGTGTTCAGGAGTACAGTGATGGGTTGTCCTCAAATCGTAGGCAGTCAGGTGTTTTTTTTGTTCAGACTCACTGAATCCAGCACCTTGTAGGAGCGATCGGACGCTACTAGGGGCTCCTGGCCGTACTACTAGGAACAAGAAGCTACTAGGGGCTCTTGGCCGCACTACTAGGAACAAGAAGCTACTAGGGGCTCCTGGCCTTACTTCTAGGAACAAGAAGCTACTAGGGGCTTTCTTTGACTCTTGCACAGGATCTTTCCATAGATGAGAATCCTGCAATGGCTCATTTGGTCAGTTCTGCTGACTGGTGCATTTGGAGTGGGGAGCAAGCTATCGCAGCTCGGAAGAACGCAACCTTCAACAGGCTAGCCACGACGGCCACCTGTGGTTTGCCCGGGACGAGCTTGACTTTTGGCGTGAGTCCTGCAAAGAGAGAGTTTGTCCTTTCAGGATTCGCTTCCCTGGCCGAACTACCGATACGAAGCTCCCAGCATGTTTTCAAAGTAGAACCCCTGCTCGGAATCGGAGACGAGAGGGAATCCGTGGGAATCCATTACTGGCCACATTTGGGCGGAAAAGCTGGGGAGGGAATGCTGGTGTGCATAGGGTTAAGTGGAGCTGGAATTGCACCCAGTGACTCAGGTTGGTTTGCTCGGGAATCAGCAACTCGGCAGACACCTTGATGAGTTCCTGCTTTTGGACAGAAATTACAGACAATAATTGAAGGAAGGTGTCTTTTTTCCCGATTTCAATAGATGGCACACCAGACACGCGTGAAGCGGATGGTGGACACTACTAGTGGCTCCTGGTACTACTAGGGACAAGAAGCTACTAGGAACAAAGGGCATCGCTACTAGGAGCAAGGACGCCACTAGTGGCTCCTGGTACTACTAGAGCCAAGAAGCTACTAGGAACAAAGGTCATCGCTACTAGGAGCTAGTGGCTCCTGGCCTTACTACTAGGGACAAGAAGCTACTAGGAACAAAGGGCATCGCTACTAGGAG